CCACTTGGCCTCAATCCACTGGTTCTTAGTTCACTATGCCTTTCTGTCCCAGTATAACAAGTCCATTTGGCTTATGTCTGGGCCTCTATGTCCCAGTACACTCCACTGGGTCTCAGTCCACTGGGCCTCCATGTCCCAGTATAACCAGTGCACTGTGCCTCTTATTCCCAGTATAACCAGTGCACTGTCTGTCCCACTTCACTCGTGAACATTTGTTAAACGTTTTTAAACTGATTGGGGCTCTGCAGTTGCATCAGGGTTTATTGTCACAAACAGCAGGAGGGTTTCACACTCCTTACAGAGGGGAAAGAGTTCCTCCATCAACACAGAACTCACTGCTCCACCGTGAGCATTAGCATTAGCATTAGCCACACCCAGGAGAGACCTGTTGGTGACGCAGCGTGGGTGTGGTCGCAGCAGGTGTGTTTGATTTGTGTCACTTTGCGTGCTCTGCGGGTGGGGCATTAAACAAGGGATTCATTATTAAAGGGAGACGCTCCTTTCTGCTTTTCGTTTTGTTTTGTTTTTCGCTATAAATATGTACAAATAATGCCAACCATAAACACAAGGCATCAGGGTGTGATACTTCATTTGATTGCGTTGTTGTTGATGTTTCAAGTTGTTTACTAGGTGATTTCACCGGAAGTGCCGTTCATGACCCAATTAGCATTTATTTATTTATTTGTATTTAAGGAAACAAGATGCATCACATCTCTGAGGTACATTAACATTATGTAGACCCAAAAGTGTTTATATCAGAGTTAATTAGCACAAAAAAAGAAAAAATCGGAAAGAAAATTAAAAGTGTTTCATGAAAGAATTGTCAAACAGGTTTCTTTTGTATTATTACTTTCTTATTCCTACGTTTTCTTATTGTAGTGCTATGTTCATTCATTTCCTTCATGTCCATGTGCTTTCTTTCCATTACTAAAATTAACCGTACAAATAAATAAATAGTTCTTTATTGAGTGTGACCAAATTAAAGTCCATGAAAGATGTTTTGACTTAAGATACACGAAATAAATCAGACACAGGTGATCTAATTTATAGATAGGGATCAATGTCAGTCCCATACTTACTCTCACCCAGTGGCGTCGCCTGGCCTGGGCATTCGGGGCTAAAGCCCGGACAATTCTCCCTCAATAATATATAATACATTAACCGTGCTTTACCTGAACCTCCTCATGACACTAGAGAGGACGGCAGGATTGTAATTTCCCGTGTTCAATGAATGCAATTATTATGTAAAAGATTATTTCCAAGGCACACCTTCATATGATCATTATAGTTGTAAAAAAATAAGAGAATAAATGAAAAACAGTTATGAAATACTATATGGCAGTAAAACAAGAATAGAGTTTAAAAGGGGAGTGATTTGTAAAATATCCATAAAGAAAAAGAAAATCTGTTTACAGTTCTGTTTTCATATCGGTGTTGAGAGAGGTATCCATAGATTCATTTCATTTCAAACCTTTATTTATCCAGGTGAATCCCTTGAGATCAATTGATCTCTTTTTCAAGGGAGACCTGCTCAAGTAGGTTCCACATGAAACATAAAAACATAAAACAGAACAACAAAAAGGACATCATACAGCATCATTACAGGGATTACAATTTACAATAACTATCCACATGAACAGGTACCAACAGCTTCCGATTGAGTAGCATCCAACCGAGCTTTAAAAACATTTAGTGGCACCAGATTGCTCAGTTTCCATTTCAATTGCAGACTATTCCAAGACAGAGGAGCTGCGCATCTAAATGCTATCTTCCCTAAGACAGTCCTAGCAGTTGGCACATTTAATAAAACCACAGCATGCGATCTCAGGCAGTAGCCACTTACAATTCGCCGTGAGATCAGGGAGCAGAGGATGGAAGTTTCCCTAACATGGCTTTGTAGATGAACATGTACCAGTGACTGAGCCTCCGTACAGTGAGTGAAGGCAAACCTGCCCTTGCATACAGGGTACAGTGATGGGTTAATGCTTTACAGTTTGTCACAAATCTCAGTGCACTGTGATATGCGGCATCTAACTTGATCAGGTAATGGGCAGGTGCATTCATATAAATCAAATCACCATAGTCCAGCACAGGTAAAAAGGTCACAGTGGCTAGCCTTTTCCTGGCCTCAAGCGAGAAACAGGACTTGTTCCTTGTTGTTGTTTGTTAGAATTACTAACAAAGAATTACTAACAGAGCACTTATATACTAATAAAGGACTGGCTTATCTAAAGCCAGTTGAGTAGCACTTGAAATGTTTTGGCTCGATGAAACCTGATGTACTTATATGATTCTGTTTTCTACAAGTTTGTATCTTCTTGGTCGAATGCACTTATTGTAAGTCGCTTTGGATAAAAGCGTCAGCTAAATGCAATGTAATGTAATGTAATGTAATGTTCCTGTTTTAGATTAAGATTAAGATCTCTTAATTTTGCTCTCAAAGTGCACCAGATTGATGCATTTAACTTCAATATTTTAAAAATATCCTGGGGGAGCATGCCCCCGGAACCCCCTACACTGTCAGAAAAAAGGGTACGGTGGAGGTCCATTTATGTTCTCTAACAACTGCTGGTGATGTACCCTCAAAGGGTCATAGTTGATCCATAAGGTACTAATAGGTACTGTAAATAGGATGTGAGGTCCACTCCCCACTTATAAAAATAACACTTTACCCCTGCTTATACCTATATGCCGTGAGCTGATTATCGAGCCTTCATTGTAACAGTCGCGGGTACGCTGTGTGTGTGCGTGTGGGGAGTGTTGCAGTAGAAAATTCAGCTGTAGCGCCCGGTACCTTAATGGGAAACCCTACATGTTTGAGCACCCTCTATGAAACGTCAAGCTACTCCACAGCACCCCCAAAATAAAATCTCTGGCGCGGTCACTGTGGGCTAAGCCCCTAATGTTTCCAGGAAACGCCCCTGCTCTCACCTCATTATTTAATAGTATCTTTGTACTATCAGCTACCCAACAAAAGAATAAAAATGCACAAAAGACAATAAAAGAAAAACTTGATGAGCTGAACAATTCAGGCCTATGTTGTTAATGTTATTTAAGTCAACATCTAAATAAATCATAGTCTAACCACGCAGAAGACAAACTCCTTTTGACTGAATTAAGAATTCAACAGGGAATAAGATGTTGGCTGTTTATTTATTTTGTTCAATAAAAACGAATAAGAAAACGTATGAAGTTGTCTATATGGATATGCAGCTACCAATAGACCACTGTTCATTTTTATAAACTGTGAATGCTATCAAGATGCATTAAGGTGATTCTCTTATATACTCAGTCCTTACAGAAACAAGGTCGGCACATTACATATCCCATAATGCAACTGCAAGTAGGTGATCCAGAGCAATTAAGGTAACATATTTGACATGCATGTTAAGGTGATTTGAAGCTTTCTAAAGACGACCCCTGGACATGATTAAACTTGTTTTGCATCAGCAGAAATGTCATTTAATGTTTTAAAAACAACACTAAATGAGTTACACATTTGAAGGTGAAATGTTTCAGACTCAGTGAGCATTGCAGACCCCAAAACGGTCCGGCAGAACAGCCTCCCTGCGTCTGATGGAAACACGGTGTTCTGTCATTACAGGAGCTCTTTGTGACTCAACCATTTCACATGCAAATGCCCTGCCTCTGATTTCTTTGATTCAGCTCTCCATGTTAGCTGTGGGTTACACCATGTGAACACGAGGGGCTTTTCAGGTGTAATTGCCTTTCAGGGCTAATTGTCCCGGGCTTTTTGTTGCTCTTAGAAGCACCTGTGCGTGGATCAAAGCATTTGCTGTGTGTGTCAGCTTTGTTTCAAGTGGGTGTCCTTACAGCACATTGTCAAGTAATTGCCTCTCCAGAAATGTCTATGGCCACTGTTGGAAAAAGAGCTCACCTTTCATTAGAGAAGAGCATTTGTATGGCTAAGTTAGTAAAGATCAAGGTTTGGTAACAGCGTAATCATCGCAGGAGATGGAAAGTGAATGAACCTACTGATATGAGGATTAAAAACGACAAGTATTGACGTATATCAGATTATTATGTGCAGGACATTTCACACTAACTTCATTGCATTTGAAAGATCAACCGTTTATTTTTTATTTTTAGCATAATAGGGCCCCTTTAAAAGGTCAATATTTATTCTCGTCATTACAAATGTATTCTTAAAAAGTATTTAAACTTTTCACAACATTTTAATTTAATTCTCAATCAATCTAAAACGTTGCCCTTTCTGACTAATGCAATAATTGCCTACAGACAGTTAAACTTTTTTTTTTTTCATTTTAATTTTATTCTTGAAATACGGAACAAAGCATTTGTTGCATGGCCCTTATAGTCTTCTTCAACCTTCAGCATTTCCATCCTAAATCTTTATAAATCAATAAATATCTCAGGTCAGAGGTCACATCTGCGTTGTTGTGTAATTGGATACTTCCAGAACTCGCTGCCAAGTCAATTTGCCGTCCAATAAAGCTCTCTCTTCAAAGCAGGCGGTGATATTTGCAGAGCGTCGGTCAAAGCGCTGCATGTCCTGCCCTCATCAGTGATATCAAAGAAGCATGTGCACATCATAAGGATAAAAATAGACCAACAGCAGAACAGATGTCCAATAAAAATGGAAATGAAAGATGACCATCTCAAAAGCAAATATTAAAACTTTAATATTATTGTGGGGTTTTCTGAGAATTGTACACAGCTTGTAAAGCTTTGGAAGACATCTTATACCAACTGTGAAACAACGGAGAAAATACATTTGAAAAAACATTTTATTCACCAGATATTGAAGGTTAAACGGCTGCAAAATACTGAAAACTTGAATTGTAAAGAGACATTATGATATAATAAAGCAAACCCAGAAATGTCTACATGCAATGTGCATCACAATGGTTGGAGGGGAGGGGTCTAACAGCATGGGGTAGAGGTATAAATGCACCCTGAATACAGATAGGACGATCAGAATTACACTGTATCTGTCTTTTCAGCTAAAGAAGAAAAACTGCTGTTTTGATTGAAGATTTACGGGACCAAAAACATTTCTTCCTGACTGAGAAATGGAAAACTGGAAGCTATGGCTGGTTGTTGTGACTTTTTGTGCTCTGCTGCAGACCTATCAGGCGCTGTCCTCCAGAGAGGGAGAGGAGAGAGGATTATCTCCAGACTGGCAGGTGAGCGTCCGTTATTACATGTTTTGGGCAGAGAGAGATAATCAAATATATAATTTTTTATTGCTGGAGTTTTTTTAAATGTCTGAATTAATGCTCTGTGGTTAATGATAATTTGGGGATTTTTTACAAACCAAAAATATGTATTCAGTCAGCTCTGCAATAATAAATCCATTGTTTCTGGTAGGATGAGTCTCTGGAGGAAAGTCTGATCAGTCTGATGAAAAGATCCAATGCTCTGCGCTTCTACGGACTCATGGGGAAACGCTCAGGTGGCCTCTCATCTCTTATTTAAACACATATTACATATTTTCTTTTCTGTATAGAGTGTATATGTCTGTGGAAATTACATTAATTAAGATATACTGATTTAATTATCCAAAATTAGGAAATTGTTCTGTCACAGCAGCGTGTTAAAAAGGCATACATAGAATACAATTATATATTAACAGTAAATATATACATATGAACAGTATTGAGTATCTCAAGAATGCATAATATAAAATATACATAAATAATATACAAAATAAGTTAGTATACGCTATAATAGAACAATCTACTACTAAAAAATATTAAATATATATTCTGTATACTATATAGTTTGCAAATTAATTCATACAAATTAAGGTGAGGTATTTAGAGCACAACATCTGTACATCGTGTATGCTTTAAAATATGAAAACATGATAAATGATTATAAAAAACATTGATAACCTTTTTTTTTTTTTAACTATTCCTCAGAACCAAAGAAGCCTTTTAAAGTGAATAGACGTAAGTAGCTTTGATGTCACTTTCAGGTTGTTGTGACAGCATTATTCTTTCTCTGGGTCATTGTAAAGTGAGTCTCTTCTTCACACTTACAGGAAACAAAGGAGAGGCGTTTGTGGGTCTGATGGGAAGAAGCATTTCCAGTGGCGGTGAGCAAAGAAAACTCCAACAAAACAAAGTGTAGCTCATTTCAAAAATATCACAGCAGCTTTATTGATATTAAAAATATCAAATTGCTAATACACATGTAACAGCAATGATTCAAAGTACAAGGCAAATACTGTCCCACTGAAATGAAGATGTTTTATTACAGAGTCTTTAAAAAGAATATTTCCTGCAACAACCACAGCCTTCGACGTCTCAGAGAAACCACGCAAGCAAGGTATGATCGTATATAAAAACCTGAGGTGTTTTATTTCTATGTGCATTCTTGCAGTGGCGCCATTTTCTTTTTATTATTCTGAGCAAATTAAAAATATCTATAATTCATTTTTTCCATTATTTGGCAGGTTCATCGGAGGAATGGGTCCACATCTTGTATTGATGGAGCTTTAAAAAGAAATAAGTGTACGTTATAATGATCTATACAATTTTACACCAACCAAAGAAGAGTCACCATACGTCACCCACTCCTCGAAACACACTCCGCTGACGTTTTCAAATCATGCCGACACTTATTGTATTAATCCCAAACAGAAACCATCTTTAAATGCACATTTCCTGAATGAAATAAAAAAATAACAGCCTGTAAACGCTGGTAAATACATTTCACACCGGATCATTTATCATTAACATTCAAAGCTTAGTAGATGTACGCAGTTGTAAAAAGAAACCGGAAAGGACATTCTCTTTTTGTAGTTAGTTGACGATTGAATTTGGAACGTAGGGTGCTTACAATCTAAAATAAAAAAGTTAAAAAAAACAAAGTAACGTGAAAGGAAAGGATGACCACTGGTCTTTATTGACAGTTTGGAGGTCGAGGCTACTTGTGGCTGGTGAGGCTGGAGGTGAGTTCATTCTGTAGCCTGAGGGTCTTTAGTGCTCATGTCCCTTTGGGGGGGGTCCACTTCAGAGAGCTGGGGTCGATGGTTTTGTTGCTGTTTCCTCGCTTGATCTCCTTCGCTCTCCACTCATCTATCAGGTCCTGAGAGGGGGAGGAAAGGAACAACTGGGCTGTCAAATATATACGGATTAAAATTAAATGAAGCCGAATAAAACATTAGACATAAAATATTTGTGATAATTTTAATAACAGTGTCTTGTAATTTAAGGTACAATATTAGCTGAATATTTCCAAAACCACATCAGACAAAGGTTAGACTCCTGTCTTTCCTTTTTAAATATTTGTTTGACTGGAAGAAAATGTTGATTTTAAGATTTCACTTTTCAGCCAGATATGAGAGTTATCCCAACATGATATATGATTTTACATTTTGAATTAACTTTTAGGATATAAGCCTTTGCAGATCATTTACATGCACAAAAAACTACAGGAAAGGGAAAACCCCCAAAAGCACAATAGGGCCCCTTACAGAAATATTTAACAAAAATATAAAGGGTTACAGGCCGTCATCTTACCTGTCGCTTCAACACCAAGTGCTTTCCTTTCCAATACTTCAGCATCTGGAGAGACTGCAGCGTGCTCACAATGTCCACCGGATTCACTGCCGTCTCCTGACTGATCTCTGCATCAATAAATATTACAACGGTGAAAATCATGTGTGTGTACTTTGTCTACAAATACCATCTCTTCCTGTGGTTATAAATCGTTCACAACCTACAAACAGAGAGTGTTCATTATCCTCACAGCAGTAAAGTGGTATTGTTTGACTTCTGTGTTTTCACTCACCTTTGATGGAGATCTCTTTGCCCTGGAAGTTGTACATGTATCTGAGCAACACTTCCTTCCAGTAACTACGGTAACTGATGAGGCCCAGGTCAGACAGGGGTCTTTCAGGTGAGCCCACCCTCTCCTCCACTTTAGACAGCAGGTAGCCTGAAAGAAGCACAGAGAGGAGAGTGAGGAAGAGTAGCTGTTTGCATTTATGTAAAGAAGACTAGCACTTTGAAAATAGACCATAATAATAAGGCTGTATGCAAGTGATGACTTCTGATCTCTGTGGGGGAAACTTCTGAAGCAATTGGAGTTAGGACTCAGAGAGACACGATGGAGAGCTGGAGCTTTGATGGCAAACACTGACGGTTTATTTGGAGCTTCGGCCGGAGAATTCACAAGACATGTCACGGGCCACGGTCTGACCACATGGTTGAGATGCCACAATCAATTCTGAAGAACCCTCCTGTAGCTCCAGGTTTGAACTAGTTCAGAGTGTAATAATCAACATTCTTCAATAGATAGACTAAACAGCTGAGGGACACTGAATCACATTTGTTGTCACTTATGGCTCGGGGTCATCTACACCCCGAGAAGGATGTGTTCCAGGTGTCCCACAACAATAACTATCTCTGACAGAGAGTTGCCCGGTCATAAACTGGTACCAACAACAACTTGCTAGGGCAGCCCCTCCTTAAGGGAGATAACGGCTGCTCAAGGTTGGTCAGCTGCGTCAGAGGGCGAAGGAGGACATGCAGGGAAAATTATTCCCCAACAATCTTTATCTGCCACTATGCTTTAAGCATAATAAACACGTGAGAAGAAACGGGAAAAAAAAACGTAGAATGTTGATTTAAATTTCGAATGTCAACATCGTAGGAAACATTTTCTTTTTGAAAACATAAATCCCATAAAATCCCAACAAAACATTTTATGCACAGCCCTGGATAAATATTACTCAAAGGCTATATTAGAAATATTCTACATTCTATTAATTAAGCAAAAAGTAATTTAAGAGGATGTACTTTTTTCCTTGAAATGCCGTAATCTTTTAGTTTAATTTGTTTTGGTGCAATTTAATTAAATCAGTGGATGCTTACTGAAGTCGATGAGCATCTTTCCAAAGCCCTGCCTCATGTACTGCGGCATCGTCAGGATACAGGAGACGTTGTAGTTCAGGAATGAGTTCTTCTCCTGGTGATACGAAAACATTCCAGTTGGTAATGTGTACAACAATATATAAAACATTTTGTATACACACAGGGTATATGCAGGAATCCTGAAGTCAAACGTAAGACCTTTTAAGACCTTTTAAGACCCTTTCCATACATTTTAAGACCTCATCGCCACTTGGAGTTTTAACCGGTTACATTGGCGACACACTTTACCTCACATTGACTATATACAGTATTGATTGTCCTTCCTCCTTATCTTCCAACCATTTGGACGCAGACTTGCATTTCCCCATAACGATGTTGTTTAACAACCGGCGTAAACGGACCTTCGCGCGCTATCAAGCAGTGAGCGTGCGATGTCCTGTTCAGATGACGTCAAATCCAACGGGATGCCATAAATAAACTACACAGAATCACACTACACACCTACGCAATGATTACATTCAGGCAGACTGTAGAATACAACCTCTTTGGACAATTTATATACTTATTGAAAACAAGCTACAAAATGTAATACCTTGGAAAATGCCGTTTAATACTTTTTAATAGCCTTCATTTTCGCTAAATTGATTGATCAACTTTCAATACTTTTTAAGACCCCGCGGACACCCTGACACAGAATAAATCTTATTTTCACACTTACTTTGGAAAAGTATCCCACCAGATGGCAGCCGGTGTTGTCGGCTTCGGTCATGACGTAGAAGAGAAACGGCTCCACATCGTAGTAAAGTGTTTTGTGGTCCAAGAACAGTTTGGCAAGTAAACACAGGTTCTGGCAGTAGATCTGAGGAGAAAAAGCTACTAATTAGTATTAAATCACTGTCTGAAGTGCTTGCTTTTCAGGTGTGTGTGTAACCAGTCTCCAAGTTTCTATACTACCAGAGGGAATGAAGATTTTAAAGTCCTACCTTATTCTTTTTGCCATCGACTTCAAACACAGATATTCCTCCTTTTCTGTACACCTCGTCTCCTGGAGGATGCTTCCACACACACTTGGCCTGAAAGGACACATATTAAAACACACATTAGCATCATTTCCTAAGACTTAGATATTATAAACACAGATATTATATATAAAAGACATCATCCAGTGTTAATAAAGCATGAGGATACATTAAATAGAAATTCAAAATGATAGACGATTCATGTGAAGCTTTTTTACTTGTATTAATATGAACTATAAATGAGTCGGTCATCTATTAAGACACATGATATATGTCCTAAAGACACAACAGAATCAAACATCCAGGGTAAATAACCATGGCAGTGAAACATTAATTGACCCTCACCATGTGTCTCCTGAGAATGGTCTGGCTCTTCATGTACTTGAGGCAGAATTCGCAGACGTAGAGGCGGCCCAGGCGTGCGTACTCCTCGGGATACGGGGAGTGGTACCAGGTGTCCAGCTCGTAGCGGCCGAACAGGATGGTCTTTATCATGTTGCTGCCCTCCGTGATCTGACCCTGGATACGCAGCTTCTCCTGCAGGAGGGACGGAGAAGTTGTTACTGCTGATCTTAGCATCAACAGTTGTGATACACACATAGTTTCCATTTCAAAATGTCACACATTTACAGACTTCTTTAAAAAAAGACCATATTTGTGAATCTAAGTTCAGGGGATACTGTTACAAGACTAGAGTTATTTTGCATATGGTTTGTAATTAGCTCTCTTTGCCCTTTTGAAATCCTTAGCAAACCAGGCTTCATTTGTGAGATTGTAAATCCATTCTTCTGAAAAATTGCATTCTGGAAAACCAAATATTTTTCCATGCTTATCCAGACCTGAGAATAACTCAAATCCGATTCCCTAGTTTCCCATACTGAGCAGGAAACCTGAATACAGTTATTTAATATATAATAATGGTAATATAAAACAGCCCCTTACCAGATCTTCGGATGCACGGGCCTGGGCTTTTCTGAAGAGCTCCAGGTCATATTCACTGGTGATGTTCTCCAGCAGAGGCTCTCTGGTGTTGCTGTGTGTCTGTCGGTGCTCCTGTGGACCAGACATTAAAATGAATAAAGATAAAATGATATATATCAAACATATAAATAGCCCAGCAGGTGTGAAAGAGCCACATGGAGTGAGAGTCAAAGTGAGAATACTGCATGTTTGAGAGCCAGCGATGTACCATGTGTTTTTCTTTCTGCTCTTTCTGAAGGCCAGAGTTTCGGCCCTTCCTCATCTCAGCCACCTGCTCCTTGTATTTGCTCTGTTTGGATGTTGGTGTCTGAAAAGATAGAAATAAATTTCCTTTCATGGTAATACAAAATGTGCACAATAACAACTCAATGTGTAATTTGTTATCTCTGCAAACAATCAAGAAGAACATTCATATGATACATGTAGAAGGAAACGTGATTAATGCTAATGCTAATCATAGCAAAAAGAGGCTACCTGGTGGCGAGTAGCATGGCGTGAGTTGTTTTCTTCCTGCCCCTTCAGCTCATCCTCTTGTTTCTCGCGGCTGATAGCTTTCACCTGTAATGAAGAGTAAGATTAATCTCTTGTGTGAAATAGCTTCTTGTGTTTT